TAGGCCCCATTTGCAAGCACAAACTAATTTCCCCAATAATGGACCTTTGGGAACCGTCGAAAGCTTTGACGTTAATGGCCCTGTCCTTGATCTCATGCAGCCCCTTTCCCAATATTCTGAGTGTTACCAACGGACAAATATTGAGGCTAGACCCTCTATCATTCAGGATCCTAGTGATAAAATAATCTTCGCATTGCACGGTGATGTGCAACGCTTTGTTATGACTCAACCCTTCTGGTAGCAGCTCATCTTCATGAAAAATGATCTTGTGACTTACCAATACCTGCCCTACCATGTTTGCCATTTCTCCTCTGGTGATGTTGCTTGGTACATATGGCTCACTCAGCACCTTCAACAAGGCATTCTTATGTGCATCGGAACTTTGCAGCAAAGCTAGGATAGAAATCTGTGCGTGTGTTTTTCAGCTGATCAATGACTGAGTAATCCTTAGCTTGTATCTTTCTCTAGATATCATCGGGCTCAGTTTCAGTGATGGCTGGCCGACTAGAGGGCTACTTGCTTGACTCAGCTAAATGCTCTGGAGTATAAACTTTACCGGTTCTTGTCATACCATGTGCCGCAACGGTTTCCCCGAACTTGGCCTTCCCTTTTCTTCTTGCCTCGGCTGTGTAGTCCCAAGGTATGACATTTGTATGGAATGGTGTTACGGCAGACATTGCCACCGGAATTGGCGTGGCTATCTTTACTCCGAACGGAGCATGCACCTTAGGCGGTAAAACTACAATTTCGGAGGGTATAAGTGCATTTGCTGGTGACATAAATTCGACCTCAATCGGCATTAGCATCTTTGCAGAGGATGGTGGTTCAAACTCAAGTGGCATGGGCATATTTACCTCGGCGTCCCCAGAAGGCTGAGTCTGGACTACAATCGGATTAAGGGTGACTATTGACTTTTTTGGTTTGTCACCTTCTGTGATAAAACCGATCGATCCTTTGGGATCCCAATCATCCTCTATTTCAATCATGTGAACACCTCCACCCTTATGGTCCGGTAGAGGGTTGTTGCGGACATTCGGAGTAGGCTCCTTTGCCACAATGATCTTGTTGTCAATCAAAGACTAGATCTTGTCTTTCAGAGAGCGGCATTCATCAATGGTATGACCTTTGGTATGCACAGGATTTATTTGGATTGACCCATTGAGAAGGGTTTTCAGGGGTTATAGCAGGAATAGAGGTGACATAACCAGCAACTTTGAGCCTTTCGTATAGCTGGTCAATTGGCTCAGCAATGGCGGTATACTGTTTGGGGGATCTGCGGTCGAAATTTGGTCGAGGTCTAGGAAAGTTATTACGTGTGGGAGGTGATTGATAAAGGGATGGATAAGCATTGTAGGCTTGGTAGACATGTGCGGGTTGGGAATATTTGGGTGAAGTCGGTTGATATGTAGGAGGTGGGGTGATTGGTAAGTAGGTGGTGGAGTTTGGTAAGAGGGTGAGGGTGCTTGGTAATTCGGGGTAGGCTTATATATGAGTGGAGGTATCGGATAGGCTTGGTATTTGATAGGGGATTTGGCTCTTTGTGCAACCATTACGACACCTACGTCCCTTTTCTTGGACGTACCACCAGACTGTAAAGCCTTATTGGTAGCTCGCAAGGCTTCAAAGTTCGTAACCATACCACTCTTGATGCCTTCCTTGATCTTTCTCCCAGCTTGATGATGTCAGAAAATTTATGGTTCTCAATCAACATTAGCCTCTCATAATATTGCGGATCCTGAGCCCGGACAAAAAAACTTGTTCATTTGTTCTTCCTCTAAAGCAGGTCTGACCTTAGTGGCTTCTGATCTCCAACGAGTGGCATTCTCGCGGAATGTTTCCGCAAGCTTCTTCTTTAGGTTCTGAACGTAGAACACATCTGGTGTATTTTTTGTATTGAACCCGAATCTGTCCATAAAGTCAGACGCCATACTCACCCAGTTTGACCATTTTTTCGGGTCTTGGATGATGTACCAAGACAGAGCATCTCCTTTTAGACTCCTCATGAAAAGCTTCATATGGATCCTCTCGTCTCTCCCCACTTTGACCAGTTTGTCACAGTATGTTCTCAAATGAACTCTCGGATCCCTGTACCATCAAACATCTCGAACTTAGGAGGTTTGTACCCCTTGGGTAGTTCGACATCGGGTTGTATGCAAAGATCTTCGTAGTTCAACCCTTCAATCCCCTTACTTTCTTCGACACCCTAAATTCGACTAGTCAATTTCTTGAGTTCGGCAGTCAGTTTCCTAATTAGTGAGTTTTCATCATCAGACTTGGGTGTGCTTGAGATGGGTTGGGTGGAGTGTGGCATGGTCTCCACATAGATGTGGGTGTTATGGTGGGTGTGGAAATGGTCATTTGTGGAATTCAAAGGTTCAAGGATGAGTAGTGGAGTATTGTTGGATGTGTGGCAAGTATTGCAGTGGTGGTGAGGAGCGGGGTGGTTTTGGGATGTTTTGTGGAGGAGTGGTGTTCTAAGCGTTTGGAAAATTGATATTTGGAGTGGTGACTGAAAATGACAAGTTTGCCAGATTCCGAACCTGATCAAGTTCCTCCTGAAATTTCAACAGTTTCTTCTCGAGTTGGGACGCACTTTCTTTGGAGACCTGAGCACCATGAGTGACCTCTACCCGTTCAGTTGAGTTTTTCTTTCTGGTGTTGTTCAAATCTTCCATCTTTCCTTTGTTCCTGCTTCTGATAGGACTAGGAGGAGGAGTAGGTGGAGGGCCCTTTGATCTTGTGGAATATGGTGACGATGCCAGCGTGCATGAAATAACCTTTGGGGAGGGGAATAAAAAATGAAAAATAAAACAAAAGGTGACAAGTTAGTGAGTATTATAAGGAAAAGATGTTGCGTTATTTAAAAACATACTGCAAAAATGTAAATCATGTCCTAATTTGGGAGCCTCGTTGTGCCCGAGGTAGGCCTAGTGACAAATTGATTTGGAGAAATTAGAATGCTAAATGCCTCATTTTATTGATAAAAGTAGACGAATCCCAAAACGACACTAAATAACAAGGAATAAAATGTCACTAGTTGCCATTGGCCTTATTACATTTCTTAAAGCAAAAAGAAAAGATTCCTATCTATTTGGTCCCAGAAGGATCTTCCTCAGGTTGAATGCTCTTGTTGATCAGATCCTCCAGTTCGCGTAGGTTCACCAGTAAACATGCTTTTTCCATGTGTTCTCCTTCGTTTCCCTCAGCGTTCTGGTAGTCGGTGACTCTTTTCCTCGCATTTCCTTCCAATTCCAGAAGACTGTATTCTAGATATTCCAACTTTCGCTGGCTTTGGCGGCCCTCTCTTTCCACTCATTGATTTGGTCATTTGATGGAAGACTCCTTCACCAGTCTAGCAAGAGTGAGGGTATGCTAACCATACCAAAATTGGGGACCTCGTTCTTCATTTTCTGTAAAACAAAAGGGTTAAGACCCTACCCCCACCAGACTCGACTATTAAATATCAATAATTAGCATAAAAATATTTAGTTCTCCAAATAAATGCACAAAACGTGGTAGTGTCCATTTGGGTTTTGGAAAAATCCAGTGGACTTTGGACAAGGCTATCTTAAAGAGTCATTATGCAGGCCACATAACTGACTCGACTAAGTTAAACCATGATGCATGCACAATTAAACAAAGTAAGGTTTCTATGGGGGTTTTAGACTGGTACCCTTGAGCGGACAACTCAAGAGGGAAAGGCACGGAACCGTCGACTACACCGTTGATCGACTGGTTTTACCACAAATATGCCTTTGTCGGATTTAAAGGGAGAAATATCGGAAGAGCACAACCATTCAGTATAACTGTTGCTATGGTATTTGTTTGGCACGAGTGGAATATGATGTTGAAAACATGCTTATGCAATAATTAAAATAAGTTGTCACGTATTTGCACATTATGAAGTAATTACAGCAATTCTTCATAATTTAAAGCAGTAATAAAGGAAAGCAGTAAAAGAAATAAAGGAAAGAAACAAAAGACAAGTCACATTTGTAATAGGAGAGGGAATTAAATAATTAAAGGCATATAGAGAAGCGCAAAGTCACAATAATAGCATGAAATGGTAAAAGCCTAAAAGAATTCCCCAGCAGAGTCGCCATGCTATCGCGCCCCCTTTTTCTTGCGAAATCGGGTTTATGACATTTGTGAGGACAACTCGTTCCCTTTCGGGAATTGGGTTTGAATTGAAGAGTCACCACCTAATTATTTAAGTGCATTAGGACACTAAGAAAGGTTTGATTTGAACAACCAGAGATTGGATAAGGGCTTGAAATTATCCCAAGGGGAAGGTATTAGGCACCCCTCAAGATCCACTAGTGTGGTTCCCGGCCAAGCCATTGTTGTGACTTTAGGTACAAATAACACGTAGGCAAATAAGAACTTCAAACAAGAGGGATTTTCACGTAATGGTGACAAAATAGGTGAAGTTAAAAGAACTAAAAGAAAAGCAGATTTTTTTAAGAAAATAGTTTGAAATTTGAGAATAAACAACGAAACAAGTAAATAAAGGAAAAAGGGTCCTAGGTTTGTAAATAATATGGATCACCCCACACAACATCCGGTAATCACTCCTCATTGAGGGGCTACACGAGATGTTATTGCGTGGTCATCATATTCATATCTACCCTTTCCTACCCCGTTGAGGTATTAAAGCGCGGNTCGGCTCAAAGAGGCAACAAGAGACACTATATTAGTACTATCAATATACTCATAATAAAACAACTAGATTAGATTTCATATTAATAGATTAGATTTTTATATTAAACAGTACAATTTTTCATTCAGCAGCCTATACCTTTAAACTATGAACTAGCTAGCGTTGATCATATAGATATCCTTAAAATTGTAATTGAAGAATTATTCCGGAAACGTAAACGATATGACCTTATTAGAATAGGATAGTGTATAATATTATTTTAGACGAAAATAATTCAAATAATTGATTCAATTACTTGACTATCTATAAAATATTGTTTTTAAGAAAAAGAAAGGCAGGCCTAAATGACACTTATACTTGTCTCACTTTGTCATGCCGGTCCCCAAACTTAATAATTTGCCAATTGAATACTTACACTCCTTCAAATCGTGTATAATAAACGCTTATGACACGAGACGACCAGTGCATGTAATACAATCTCCTACACGTGGGACGCCACGTCAAGAAAATTAAACCACGTAGGCTCCAGGTCAATTATTATGTCACATAAGAAAATAAAAGGGGAAATGATTCTTATCCCTCCCAAATCCAAATTTTCCCCTCAGTTTACACTTACCCCTTTGTTAGGGTTTAGAAAGTATGAACCATTCCTGTCTCTCCCCTCTTCTTCGTCATCCTTGCTAGGATTTTTATGTCCAAAGTCCACTTAAATCCTGTCTGCTTGACGATGATGATGTTGTCGTGTTGCCCCCAACCATGGACGAGATTGTTAGGCTTTACGAGCTCTTTTTGTCCGATTTAACTTTCAATTCTAAGCATGTCATTACTGATCTCACCATAATTGCCGGCGAACAGAGAGAACACGGTCGAAGCATCGCTGATGCCATTTGTTGTCGCATTCTTGAGGTCCCAGTAAAATAGAAATTACCCTCATTTATAAACAAGGATTGTTGGTTTTTTTTTTTAAATTGAGGAAATCAATGGCAGAACAAGGGCTGTTGGTTTTCACCTCCGAATTTCAAAGATTAAAAATGGAGGAAAATCAACGGTGGCTCAGATCTATAATATTGAAGACAAGGCAAGAGATTGGAGACAGAAGAAAAAATTATCATCACAATCTCATATTTTTGCAGCCTAGATAAAAATTTTATTTATGTTTGAGATCAATTTTATTTGAGAACAGCTGATTGGGATGTAATCAAACTGAGATTGTAAATATTTACTTAGAAGAAGAAGAAGGTACAGAGGGAACAAAAAGNCCCCAATCCTATCAGTCCCGGAGGCATTTGGGACTACTAATCCTAAAGGGGAGGGATATTGGGCTTACTTGTGATTTCAAAANAGAAGAAGAAGGTACAGAGGGAACAAAAAGGGAGGGGGTGGGTACGGGAAGAACAGAAAGAGACATACCTTTTTTGCTTTTTTTTTTTTACTTATTTTATTTTCATTCTTATTTAATTAATTTTTTCTTCTTATTTTAATTATTTCTGGTTCAAAATGTTCATATTCACGCTCATTATTTGCGTGAATTGCACTCACTTTGTCCAGCTCAACCATTATGTTGCTACATGTGCTTGGTCAACGGTCAAAGGGGTTTAAATAATAAGCTTTGATCAAATTAAAGTGTCTGGATAAAAACAAGTGAAGTAGGAGGACCGTCATGACAAAGTGAGATAAGTATAAGTGTCATTTAGGCTATTCTGCCACAAAGAAACAATCGACTTCATCATAAATATCAAATAAGTATACATTGATTGGCATTTTATTTTACGTTTACCATACTGATAAAAAATATATAATTTTTTTAGGCAATATATTTCGGGACCCCCTTGAATCTGGCAACTTTTTTTAGCTTCCCCTAAAATTTCACGTGGTTTTTAGTACCCCATGAACTTGGCAATTTCATAACCTCGAACCCCATGAACGTTGACAATCCATTGAAGTGTGAAACACGCGATGCCACATGAATGTTTTTTCCATGTGGCACTATTTTTTACAATAAATTATATTTTTTTAATCTTTTTAAGTACACCAACCATTTAAATTATTTTTTCATGCCAAAATTTATTTTAGAAAAAAAAAACTTGAAACAATGTTATTTTAACTGTAATTTTTTATTGCACGAAAGATAATGTTTAATCAAGTTACGATTGCATAATTGGTAAGAAAAAGAAGGAATACAGAGTTAGAACATAGTAATTATCATTGCATCTAAAAAAATAAAAATATAAAATACGTTCTTGGAACTATATATATTGGCTATATAAATATTTTAGCTAAAAATAGTAAAGTTCCGATCAAATATTTGTGAATTTGACAAGAAAAAGAAAAATACATAGTTTAAATAAATATTCATCGCATAAAAATAAAAATAAAAATATACAATATTTTCTTCTTTTTGTAGAAAATATACCATTTGAACTTCTTTACTTTGGCTAAATCTTCTTTTTATTTGGCGAAAATAAATGGCGTTTCAACTAACTTTTGTGGATATGAACCAGAAAAAAATAAAAAATACATAATTGAAATATATATTTATCATATCTAAAAAAAATACAATTGAAAAAAAAACGAAATATAATGTATATTAAGAAAAATAATGATAAATATAATTGAAACAAATAAATCATTATATTTGATTATGTGGTAATTAGTATTTGAAAAATACTCCACCTGGAAGCTAATTTTTTTTTATTTTTCCTCCCTACCACTCGCCTAAATGAAGTGTATTCACGCTCTTTGGCGCATCAGCTTTTAGGGTGTCAACAGAGGAGAATGTAGTGTTGAACTCATAACTTTTGACGCGGAGTAAAAAATTATATGTAAAAATTTATTAAAATTATAAAATAATAGATATGAACCCGTAACTTTAAAAATATAATGGGTTCAATGCCAAAAATCTATAAAGTTGAACCTATAAATTTTAAATCTTGGATCCACCTTTGAGGGTCAAGACTATCAAATTTCTAAGTTCACTAAAGTATTTTAGACCACGTTAAATTTAAGAGAAAACTAAATAAAAGCTGCCGAGTCGAGGGATCCCTAACAAATCTGCCAATTTTTTTTATGTTGTTTAACAAAAGCAGGTAGGATTAACTTTTTCAAAATGTTTCTGTATGGGTCAAAATCTGACTAAGGAAATTCGGCACAAAGAGGTATTATTAGAAGTAATTTGGTCGAGGTCGACTAATGATTAATGGAACTCACCGTCGAGCAGTCGATCATGGCCGAGGTCAAATATTGAGAGCAACAGTAATGGATAGTTTTGTAATAGGGTCTTTAGGAGAATACTCCATTGAATATTCCATGTACTTGTACTTTTAGGGTTGACAAGGGGTATGTCTCATATAAATAGAAAGAGAGATAAGGTGAAAGGGATATATTATTGATTCTCATAAGAACTCTCATGAAAAGCAGACTCTCTAGATAAATACAAACACCACCTTTCTAAAGAGATTTGTTTTGTTGATTATTCTATACTTTTCACATCAGATTAGAGAAAGTCTCTAATATTTTCATAGTTATTTATCATTCATCATTGTCAGAAAGAAGAATCATCTACCTCATTCAATATTGGGTGAATCATTCTCCTTATTTACATTTAATATCATTTATTGCTATTTAATGCTAGTTGTTCTCATCCCACTATTGACCTTGAACATTTAACACACATTGCATTAAATCTGTTCCAACACTATCATACATCATCCACGTAAGCCGATTTTAGATCTGAAGTTATTATCTTTAACTAGGATTTACCCCTTATCTATTTAATTAATTAGTTTAACCAAAGGTTCATATTTTTTGGTCAAACAATTTGGCGCCGTCTGTGGGAATTTTCTAGGTAAAATTTTATTTTCTTCTAGATCTGTAACCAAAAAAAAAAGAATGCAAAACCCTATACTTTCTTGTCCACACAGATCTAACATGATAGGTAACGAAGAAGAAAGGATGAAGGCGGTAGCCGATCTCACCGCCAACCTCTTAAACACCATCAAGGAGGTCTCTGAAACAAAGGGTGAGGATATAATGTCAAATGCCTCTTTCTGACGAAGTGGCTCACCCCTTCCTCATGGTAGTATCACAACGTCCCACGGTAAAGGAGCTTCCACGTTCACAACGGAAGAGGCACCAGCTGCGGTAAAAAAGTTGCTCGAAGCTTGGCTGACAAACACGTTAATCGGCATCCTCGACAAACACACCCAAAAGGCGATCAGGGAGAGCCCAAGAACTTGCGTTGCACCAATAACAGTCAAGCAGTACGACCCTCCTACTCCCGTAGCAGGTATCATTCACAATGTTAATAATGCAGGTGACAATACCCTCACAGTCGATTTAAGGAAGATGGAAGAGATGAAAAACGAAAACAAAATGCTCCTAGACCAAATGAAAGAGCATCAAGAAAGGGCAGACAAAATATCGGGTGCCCCAAAACTCTTACCAAAAAGAGATGCTGGTCGGTTTGTTAAGCAGTCATACAATGACGATGTCACACTACATGCCATACCTAAAACCTTCAAAATGTTGTCGTATCTGAAAATATGTGATGGTACGATAGACCCTAAGGATCATGTGACTCACTATGTCACCGCAATAAAAGGCAACGACCTCGCCAAAGAGCAAGTATCCTCCATCTTATTGAAAAAGTTTGGCGAAACCCTCACCGGGGGCTCATTAACTTGGTAGTCACAGCTACCTGCGCGTTCCATTAAAACATTCGAAGAGATGGCCGACAAGTTCGTAACAGCCCATGTCAGAGCTAAAAAGGCAGAGGCAAGAGTGAATGATATATTTGCCATCAAACAATCACCTGGAGAAGGACTAAGGGTCTTCCTCGCTCGATTCAACCGTGTAAGGATGACCTTGGCAAATGTATGGGAAGGAATGGTTGCGGTAGCTTTCCAGAATGGGTTGAACCGAAGTGGTTCACGGGCGACCTGAAAATTGCTAAGTCGACTCATGAAGTATCCCCCAACCACTTGGGACGAAGTACACAATGCCTATTGCACTGAGGTCCAATCTGACGAAGACGACCTAAATGGACCAACCCAACGGTTAATCTCAGTACAAGCCGAGTCCAAGAAAAGACCGGAGAAATGACAATATAAGGGATCAAGCAGGTCCACGACCAAACCGAGAAAGACATCAACCATATGTCAGAGGCACCATCATGCCGCCTTCCCGCCATGATGAAGGCCCATTTAGGCCAAGAACAGGGACTCACCGAAGTGAGAAAAGTATGCCTCCTTTACTATCTGCTCACAATTTTTGTGTTTCACCCTCAGAAATAGTCTATGCATTGGAGAAGCTCGGCCCAAAAGTGAAGTGGCCACAGAAGTTGAGGTCCGACCCGAACACCAGGAAGTCAAATGCCATCTGCGAATTCCACTAGGAACGAGGTCATAAAATTGAGGACTGCATCGCTCTAAGACAAGAGGTCATGAACATGCTTCACCAAAGGCACTTGAAAGAGCTGTTGAGCAATCGAGGAAGGGCCAACATCGCTCGAGGATGAGAACAACACCAGGGCCCACCAAAACCACCTTCTCCAACTTGAACCATTCAAATGATCATCAGAGGGAGCGACGACGCATCGATCAATAGTGTAAAATTCACCACCACCCACAAACTCAAACGGTCAATCACTCATGAACGGAACGACGAACATGAAGAAAGTATCATCTTTGATAAGTCAGATGACAACAGTTTGGTTTTTCCTCACTATGACGCTCTTATTATCACTTTACGCATATTAGATACGAATGTGAGACGTATTATGGTGGACGATAGGAGTTGCACGTGAATCATCCACCCTTAAGTACTTGCATAGATGAAACTCGAGGATAAGATAGTGCCACGCTACATCACACTAACTGGTTTTAACAATGCAGTTGAACGAACATCTGGAGAGATCACACACCTCGTCCTGGCCGGCAGCATCACTCTGGAAATCACATTCTACATCATAGATCAGGACATAGCGTACAACACTATAATAGGTCGGCCTTAGATACACGGCATTAAGGCCATCCCCTCAAACTTGTTCCAAGTTATCAAATTTCCCACTCTATGGGGAGTATTCAGCATCTGAGGAGAACAACTCACTTCTCGAGAATGCTATTGCATCGCCCAGGATTGTACATACACCCAACAAATGAAGGGCAAAGCCAAAAAGGCATAGCAATTAACAGGGTCGAGGTCGAGCGGTGATGAAAGGAAGGACGTCATCAAAGACCCCAAAATCACAGAGGCCACGGGATCAACCGTAGAAGATCTCGACCCCGTCCAACTTGATAATAATGACCACAACAAGAAAGCTTACATCGGCCCCGCAAGCTTCAGGAACCATGTAAATTCCGTCATTTCTTAACTAATAACGCAGACTTGTTTACTTTTTCCCATGCAGATATGCCAGGTATCCCAAAGGAGATAGGGACACATAAGTTAAATATCAATCCATTT